GCCCTGTTACTTGGGGGAGGCCATGAAGTTAGCCCAACTGGTGGAAAATCAGAGGAATTTGGAGAGGAGAGTCAGGAGTAGCAGCACTGGAGGGCACTTAGAAAATGACGACCACTCATCTAACAGCTAAAGATCCTAGGAGCCGAGAGGCCACCAAGGAGAAGACAAGAGGGAGCGGGAAAAATTTCAAGCGGCTGAAAGAGAAACAGATGCAGGAAAAGATGGCTAGGGGGTTGTGCTTCAGGTGTAATGAAAAGTACACACTACGGGATGGGTGCAAGGACCGAACACTTCAGGTTCTCACCTCCTGTGATGACGAGGAAACTGAGGGAGGTGAGGAGGAGATAGAGGAAGAGATGGAGGAGAAGCTAAACTTGGATCTAGCTGAGGTTTCTCTCAACTCAGTGACAAGGTTCACTACGAATAACACCATGAAGATGAAGGGAGAGATAGAGGACAGGGAGGTGGTGGTGCTGATTGATAGTGGGGCTACTCACAATTTCATTTCCACCCAGGTCGTCGATCAACTGGGAATGAGATTGGTGGACACTGGCTGTTATGGGGTGATGATGGGTACATGAAAGGTGGAGAAAGTCGGGGGATTTACATACACTCTTATTGATGTAGGATTACACACTCTTAAAGTAATTTTGAAAAGATCTTGCTCGATTTATTGATTAGAGTAATAACAAGTAGAACTATTAACAATTAAAATGATGAAACAAAACGTAAGAGCGGTCACTTTCGTTTAGGCCAAGTTGCACATCAAGAGCTTTGAATCATCAAAATAATATAGGAAATCATTATCATGCCAATATAATAGCTTTCAACGAAAATCCCTAATATAACAATGAGATTAGAATCAAATGAAGTGCACTCAATTCCCTACATTTACTAAGCTTGGAAGAATTAGGCAAACACGATCTTCAAAACTACAATTAAATCACAAGGAAGGGGTTAAACTTTAAGAAATACAAGAAAAGGGGGTTAGAAAACCTTTGTCAAGGATCGGTTGTAATCCTCAACTCGATGGTTCCAAGTTGCTCTTCAATAGCCTCAACCAAGGTATCCAATATGCGCTCTACGTATTCTTCTACTCTGTGGTCGATGCGTGGGTTGACGTCGAAGAAGGTCGAATGTAAGATGCAAAAAAATCCTTGCTCGTATTAGGAGAGGCCGTAATCAAGTTCTGGATCGGCCATGCATTTGCTTTGTCGTATGTGGTGGTGTCGGCGACGTCCTTCAAAGCTCCTAGATCTCTTGAGAGAAAGGGGATCCTCACAAGAAGTAAGAGATAAGGAGAGGAGAAGGGTTCGGCCAAAGAGGGGAGCCACACGTGGGTTAGGGTTAGGTTGGAGGAGGTGATTAAATTCAAAATTCTGAAATAAATTTCAGATTTTGAAATTAAGAGGGAAAGAAATTAGGAGGGGAATTTAATTCCCCTAATTGGGGAGGGGAATTAATGAGAGAGAGAAAGAGAGAGAGAGAGGGGCGGCGGCATGATGAGGGGTGAGGATGAGGGATTTATTTCTAAAATCAATTGTTTGGTTTTGGAAATAAATTAGGAGTTAGGGGCTTTGGAAAATTCGGCTGAGGGGTGGGGAAATTTTGGAAATCTTTTCGAGAGAGAAGATGGGGCTTTAGGAAACAAATCCCCAATTCTCTCCTAATGGGGCCGGCGGCTATGGGGATTAATTGGGCTTAATAATGGGATGAAATCAAGCTCCTTAATTTGGGTTTTAGGAATTAGGAAAGAACTTAATTAAAACCAATTTGAATTTGAAATTTAAATAGATTTAATTTAGGAACTTTCCTAAAATAGATTTAGTAATTTAGGAAATTTTAAATTTCAAATTGAATGAATTTGAATTTCAAAACCTATCCAAATTATGTCAATCCAAATTAAGCAATGGAAAGCAATGGGGAGGGGGGATCTAGGGCCGGCGGGTTGGATGGGCTCGGGTATGGGGCTGGCGACTAGGAGGAAAGTATGTGGATTTTGGTCGAGTAAGGGGGGAGGGCTTGGGAAGGGAGAAGGCCTTGGATGTGATATTGGCTGGTGATGGTGGGAGGGGAAAGGAAGCGATAGGAAATAGAACCACGAACCCGACTCATCTAGGTTGGTGGGTGATGCGCACTCTCTTATGGATCTCTCTCCGATTTCTCAAGCTCTCATAAGAACTCATACAAGGAGAAGAATTATTTTCATCAATCATTCATTAATCTCAAAAGAAGAACACTAGGGCTATAAATAGCCACGTACAAAGACTCACAAAAATAAAAGGTCTACAATGCCCCTAGGGCTTACATACGACCTCCCTTAATAAAAGGGTACAACGGAAAACTAATAAAGCAAACTAATAAAACAAATACAAAATGACATTATAAATAAGAAAATATATAAAACAACTCATAAATACAATGACTCAATCGTGGCCTTAGATCGACGGACATGTCTTTGATAGACTCTCCACGATCTAATGTCCCCATCACTTATACATCACTTTTATTTTTAAAAATAAGAACCAACACTCCACTCATCTGACATATTTTTTGATGTGAATCAACTAGGAGCTACTTGAGAAATTAAATGAATAATTGATTAAAATTGCTAATATAAAATTATTGTTTGTAATAAAGGAAGATTTTGGAATTCAAAACATTCAACTTGCTTAAGCAAAGAAGCGCTCTTGAGATTAACCAAACAATTCAATCAAAATCCAAAGCTGAAAGTAAATGCTACATGCATATAACAAATCCACCACTTAATAACGAGAGGTTCACCTTGAGTACCTTTTCATTCAATTACTCTTGGGCATTAGTGGAGGATGAAGAACCGTACGAGGAAGGAGATTACAACTAGGAAGATGGAGCCAAAGAACTTTGTTGATGGAGAGGTAGCCGGCGGTGGAGGAGGTGGTGGGTGGCCGACAATTATCCAACGGCCTGGACGGATGTGCTCTTCG